CATTACATAGGGCCAAGGATTTAGCTCAGTGGTGTCGCCGCATGCCTCAAAAGTGCAAGGTCCCAAGTTCAATCCCCAGTACCAAAAAATAAAAAATAAAAAACAAAATTACATAAAAACCTCAACAGCTTAATGTTGACCTATTACTGACATATCACAGAATACCTGTGACAAATACAGAAGGTGCCTTAACCTTATTCTCTGAAGCAGACTTTCATAAAGTAGTCTTCTGTAATGAGGCATGTAGACAGTGTTCTAAAGACAGCAAACCAGGTAAAGCAGCAAAACAGTAGATACTGTTTAAATTTTAAACCTTGATACTCAAGAAATACAACTGGTCACTATGGGAAGATGCTAGTAAATCAAGTCATTGTTCTGAAAATTAACAGAATCAAATATTTACTTTGTGGTTTTCTTTTTGGTACCGGGGATAGAACTCAGCACCTTATGCTTGCAAGGAAGGCTGTGGAACCACTGAGCTAAATCCCTAGCCCCAGAATCAAATATTTATGTTGCTTGCCTTCCATTTAGAGAACTGCCATCAAAAACCGATGAGCATTTGTGTATTCTGATAAATGGAAAAAACAAAACTAGAGTACTGTATTAAGAGCTTTGCAAAATCCTAAGGAATACAGTTAAGCAAAAATCATTGGTAACTGCTACATTTATGAATTATTCTAGCCTTGCACACCCAAAACAGAATCTGAATTATTGGGGGGTTTTCTTCTTTTTTGGTTGAGACAGGATCTCACTATGTAGTTCAGGCTAGCTTTAAACTTATTATGTGGGGCTGGGGATTTAGCTTAGTAGTTCTGCTGCCTGCCTCACAAGCGCAAGGTCCTGAGTTCAATCCCCAGTACCAAATAAATAAATAAATAAATAAATAAATTTACTATGTGGCCCAAGCTGTCCTCAAACTTGAAGCAATTCTCCTGCCTCAGCCTCCTAAGTGCTGCAATTATAAGTGTGTACCACCACCCAGGCTCAATTCTAAATTATTTAAGCCCCAATATCTCTGTCAGTTTACAGACACCAGACACCAGACAATGACAATTAAATAAAATCAAGAAAAGTGAATAAGCAAAATCTAGACTAGAAAACTCTTAAGGACAAAATCTAGTTGTGATAAGGGGGAAACTACAGATTAAAAAGTTTCACAGATACTTTCAAATAAAAAATGTGTAAGCCTTGTTTCAGTAGAGTCAAACAGTGGTAAAACAGGATTATACAACACTATCAGAAAGCATGGACATGACAATGTATTTGATAATTTAAAGAATCATTATGGTCTGACCTTTTAAGGAGTTCTTCTTTATACATGTATTTTTAAATATCTATGGGTAGGATAATAACTTGGGATTTACTTTAAAATAATTTAGGAGTACAAGGAGAAAAGAAGGATTATAAGTGAAACATGACTGAATATGAATTCATCTTTTTTTTTTTTTTGGTACAGGGGATCGAACTCAGGCCCTTGCACTTGCTTGCCCTTGCAAGACAGGCACCAGAACCACTGAGCTAAATCCCCAGCCCATCATCATTGTTAAAGTGGAATATTAGATAACAAGAGTTCACTGTATCTTCTCTACTTTGTGTATGCTTAAAATTTTCCATAATAAAAGCTTTGAAACACAGCTAAAAGGTTCTAACATAACAATTTACGTAAGGGTAAACAAAAAAAGTATTTGTCCTTCAGCAGCCAAAACAAATTCTTAATGGTGAGTCATGACAAGCATTGTCCCTGTATATACTAGTCATCAAATGAGACCCAAATAAGTCTTGTTCAAGGTCACAAGAGACTGCACTTGGAAGCCCACCAAATACAGAAGTCTAAGGGGCTGAGGATTTAGCTCAGTGGTTCCGCCGCCTGCCTCAAAACCACAGGTCCCAAGTTTGATCCCCAGTACCCACCCCCTCAAAAAAAGGCTAAGTTCTTAGAATTAAGTCATACAGCCAGGCATGACAGCACATGCCTGTAATCCCAGCACTTGGGAGGCTGAGGCAGGAGGACTGCAAGTTAAAGGTCAGCCTGGGCTATACAGCAAAACACTGCCTTAAAAAAAAAAAAAAATGCAGGTGGCAATACCTACAATCCCAGGTACTCAGGAAGCTGAGTATGGAAAAATGCCACCAAGCTAGAGTCTACTCTGGGAAATTGAGACCCTGTCTCAAAAAAATTTAAAAAGGCTTGTAATGCAGTTCAGTGAGAAGGCTCACTGGGTTCAATATAAAATCCCCACTATTAAAAAAAAAAAAAAGAAAAGAAAAGAAAAAAGGAACTAAGATATAGAAACATTTTTGTAAGAGATGAGCAGGGAATGAGGTATAGTTCAGTGGCGCAGCACCAGCCTAGCAAGTCCAAGGTTCTGGGTTCAATCCTCAGCACCTCAAAAACAAAATAAATCTAAGCAGTCCTGAAGTCATCTGAAAATTCATCAAAAGTATTAAAAAAAATGTGGGCATGATGGTTCATGCCTATAATCACAGCACTCTAGGAGACTGAGGCAGGAGGATTTGGGCAATTTGGGCAAATTGGGCAATTTGGCAACTTAGCAAGATTCATTCTCAAAAAAAATTAAAAATAAATAAAGAAGTGCTGTCACCCGCCTCGTAAGCACAAGGTCCAGAGTTCACTTGCTGGTACCTAAATAAATAAATAAATAAATAAAGAGATGGGATGTAGCTTAGTGGGAATGCCCTAGGTTCAGTCCTCAATATTGCAAAAAAAATTTTTTAAGTGTAAAAAAAAAAAGTTACAAGCTTGTCAAGGGCAGGGAAGTCAGATGGTTTTGAAGTGCTAACTGCTATAATGGAAGCAGTAAGGCTAGTAAGACCAGAGAACACTTGTTTGGCAATCATCCTTGTTAGGTAGAAGAGTTCAATATGCAAGCTGTATTCAGACCTACATGAATCAAGAGGTCTGCAAAAGAGAAAGTTATTACCTACAGGTGCAATATCCACAAGACAGTGAAATCTAAAAATCATAATTTTACTACACTTTAAAAACTATTTTAGAAATTAAGTCTTACTAAATACACAAATGATTTAATATTAAACATAAAATGGGATTTATCTTTCTATGCAAGAAAAGTTAAGCTTTAAAATTTGGTCAGAGCCTGGAGATTATTTCAGTGACAGCACATCTGAGACCTTCAGTTCAATCCCTAGCACAGCAAAAAAAAAGACAGTGATTACCAAAACCTGCATTACTAAGGACAGATATTTAAAAGAGAGTAAGGATTCACATTTACAATGAAAGTCAATATGCCTAGCATGACAGTACATTCCTTTAATTCTAGCACTCAGGAGGCTGAAGTAAGAAGATTGAGTTCTAGGCCAGATAGCAAAACATTGTCTCAAAAGTCAAGTAACACAGGCATGGTGGTACATGCCTGTAACCCCAGAATTTGGGAGGCTGAGGCAGGCAGATTGATGAAGAGTTGGAAGCCAGCCTGGGCCACATAGTGAGTTCAACACCAGCCTAAACTACATAGGGAGACCGTGTCTCAGAAAACAAAAAAAAAACCAAAAAAACTCAAACAATCAAAAAAAAATCAATAATAAAATCCAGTGTAAGGCTGGGGATGTAGCTTAGTGTCAACATGCCTGCCTAGCAAGCACAAGGTCCTGAGTTTGATCCCCAGTACCACCACCAAAAAAAAAGGAAATCCAGTATATGCCAGTAAAGAACACTATCTTTTCAATTAGAACAGTATTAAATAGTAAATCTACTTACAAATATCGTTAAGTAAACAAAAAATAAAACCTATTCATCTTTTGTCTATGAAAATAGTGAAATCTATTAAGTTTAATGTATAAATGTTTTAATATATAAATCGTGTAATAGTACACGCCTGTATTCCTAGCATTTGGGAGCCTAAGGCAGGAGGATCGCTATGAGGTGAAGGCCAGTCTGGGCTACATGATGAGTTCAAAGCCAGTGTGAACTACATAGTGAGACCCTGAGTCAAAAAAAAAAAAACTGTTTTCAAATTAAGGGCAATACTAAAATATCATTTTAACTTTTGGCTAACATGTGTTAGTGACTATTTTCAAAAGCGTACGGTATCCTTTTTGTTGGAAGAGTTGTCTATTTTTAAAAAGGTTATTTCTGGCATTAAATTACAGAAGACTAAAAGCTTTTTTAAAAATTCATATTAAACATTTCAAGGTGTAGTAGTAGCACTTTAATAATTATAGCATCAATCAAATTGGAAAGTTAAAATTTCTCTAAAATTTAACATTACAGATAAATGGGATCACTAATAAAGAAATATTCACTGTTTAAAAGATCTGAAAGCATGTAAAAGAAACAAGCCTTGAGAATTTTCCCACCCACACTTAAAATAGATCAGCAGTATTTCTCTAACCCTAGCCAGTTATCTTCAAAGTAGTAATATGGTTCCTCACTTGAAAAATATGTTTTAAGAGAACACCCTTCTAAATAACTTAAAATCAAAGCTACCACCTAAAAATTTACATAAGGAAAAAGAGAAGAAAAGAAAATTATTTCTGAATGACAAAAAAATTATAGGGGTCATAACAGCTAAAGGTGTGGCCTTGAAGTACCGGTTTCCTCATCAGTAAAGGGCAATAATTATAATACCCTCAGGACATATGAGTATCAAAGGAGACAATTATACAGTAAGCACATCAATAATCTTTCTGTACAATTTAAAAGGTCATCTATGAGAAAAATGCTTAATGCCCTTCTCACAAAAATGTCTTTATCCTGCTCCCACTTGTAGAAAAGAAGCATAAACAAAAATATTTTTCTTTTATATAATTTTTATTTATATAACTGAAATCACTGAAGAATCAAAAAACACACCCCATGGTCTACCTGTATGTGTATGTAATGAAATCTGAAAAACAGAAAATCTCTTACGTTCTAAATTTGGAGTTATTAGTATAAATATACTAGCACCCATCAAATAAAGCCAGTCACAAAGTTTTATAATAAAGTATTTAAAACTGAAATAAAAAAAGAAAGCGATTACCTTGGTACAATAAAGCATCCAAAGTTCAAAGAGCCTTTCTCTGGATGCCATTCTGGCTTTCACTCTGGCACTTTAATTTTTTTCTCAAAAAATTATATTCAAGACCACAGCACGTTCATTTTATTTTCCAAGTTTCTCAGCCATTACAGTAAAGCTCAAAGAGGTAGGGAAAGCAAAAATAAGTGCAACAAACAGACGATCTCTGATCAATAAAATGCAGTTTCAGCAGTTACTCCAACACATCTTCATCAGTGGTAGCTAGGCAATTAATTAAATCTGTGAAAGAGAAAAATATCCAAAGGTTTGTGCAAAAAGAGGGCACATTTTAAACATCTAGACATAAGGAACTAGAGATTATTTTTCTGCTTTCCTATGCCACAACGAACGGGGAAAACTTTTACACTACTTAGATTTCACAGAAACTTAAGTTTCAGGAAAACATCGCCAAGAACACGATAGGTAACGTCAATAGTAAGGCTAGAATCCCGCAGGGCAGATCTCTAAAGCTGAGTTCGTACTCACAACGCTTAACGCATTCGGAGAGAATAAAAGACCAGGAGTCATCTGCACTCATGCATTTCCGGGATACCTTCCTAACACACAACCTGAGAGTTTACTAGTCCGCTTCTCAAAGCTGTGGGAATGTTGGCGGGGCGCAGGCCGGGCGGGGGAGGAGGAAGAGGAAACCCGGTCCCCTAACTTCGAGGCCTGAGAGGGCGACACTCGCGCCCACCCGGCTCTCCGCAGCTCCCTCGGGAAGAGGAAGGTTTGGAAAGGCGCCCGGGAAAGCCTCCAAGCGCTGCGGAAGATTTAAACGCCCTCCCCGCCTCAAAACACCTAGGAAGTGCCAGGTCGCCAAGAAAATATTCAGAGCGGCAGCCACGCGACAGGGACCCGAGACCCCGCCGCCCAAGCAGCCCAGAAGGAGTGCAGGAGAGAGCCTCGGCCCTCCGCCTCCCACTCCACAGCCTGCCACTGCCCTGATACCCGGTGCCTCCCACGCCGCGCCAAGCCACGCCA